ATGTGAAAATATAAGTTCACTGAACCCCAGTGGCCTCCACAGTCACCTGATCTTAGTCCACTATAGAACCTTTGAACTGTTGTTGAATAGGAGATTCATATTGTGGATGTTCTATGATAAAGCTGCAGCACCCGAATGATGGTCAAACTGGACCCAAATCTCTAACGTTATGTAGAATTACAACAAATCTGAAGGCAAATGTGGGTCTAACCCATTACCACATAGCTCTGCCTAATGAACTGGTATGCATTGTGCACAATAGATGCTGTCAATACAGAAGAGCATGTGAAATCTGAGTGTTTTAATGTTCAAGATGGTATTCTTGATATAAAAACAGCTTCTATATTATTGCACAACATATTTTCTTCCTCTTTTTCGATTTACAAACACCTCAAAGATTATGTTCTCGTGTTTTTTTAAAGCAGATTTAGAATATATGAAATATCTTTATCAATGTCATTTTTAATGGTGAACTAAATTAAATTGAAAACTGATGCTTTATAGGGAAACATAATCTCCAGGCTGAAACTCAGAAAATTGAAAATCAGTTGGTGAATAAGCTGAATTATTCAATATTTTGCAATATGATAAAACTATAATTTTTAAATTTTTTTTTTTTTTGCCAAAATGATTTTAGGAATTTTTGAACCCTAAGGGTTTTGATTTTTATTTTTCAAATACACCCTTTAATTAGCCAGGTGAATCTGCTGATTTTTCATTTATTACTATTATCTAATTTCAGTAAAAGTTGGTATTTTAATGCACTTTTATGTGTTCAATTATAAACACATGTAGGTTAGTGTGTAATGGGTCATTTTTGGTGTATTATGGTCCTAGAGAAATAAAAAAGTTTAATTGGACAAGGTCAGATCAGAACATGAAAAATTTGTTTTTTCACTTTGAATACACAACTTTGAAAAAAAACAAACGTTGGCTCAGTGTTTAATAATTGTAATAAAATTAAAGGCATGTAATTAACTTGTAATAAGTCTGTAGGATGAAATGTATTTCTTTTTGTTTTGTAAATGAGTACCAGATTTAGAATCAATTTTCATGGCAATGTTAATCTGCAGAATGAAATTATTTCAATTTCAGTTTTTCATCAGTATTGTCAACTGTACAAACAACACAGTATGTTGATAAAGAAGCTTAGCTGGGATACAAATTACAGGACAAATGAAAGGATAGCAGTAGTACATAAATATGCATGCACGAGCAGCCAATCCTTTTTTTATTTATTTATTTTCTAGATTAACAAAATAGATAAGGCAGGTTTTATTAATGCAGATTGTAGCAGATCATCTTTACATCTTTACAGTGGCTGAGTGTGGTTCATTGTGTTCATCAGAGACACAGCCACAGGAAGGAAACAGTTCGTCTCTGCATTAGCTATCTGTAGCATCGATCTGAAGCCAAAACTTTCTGACTAGGATGTGTAGAGGTGACACAGCTCTGTTATTGTCCCTAGGGCTCTACGGGTTGCGGATAGAGGGGAAGGTCAGCAGGATGATCTGCTCTGCAGACCTAATTGCTTGTTGCACTTTGGACCTGTTCTGTTTTGTAGATTAGTCAAACCATACAAAGTGTGATGTGCAGAAAACAAACTAATTGACGGCACTGGAGAAGATGACTGAGATGACAGCAGCTATGGGTTTTACTTCCTCTATTTCCTCAGTAAGTCCAGTTTCTACTGGGTCTTCATCTGTACAGTTACAAGAAAGCGAGAGTCAAAGGAACCAGCAGTCAATTGAGTATTGTTGTACAATTTTAGAAGGTTTAGATCAAGGTGGTTGTAAACGCACCAGTGGATCAGTGACAGAGATGTCATTTGTAAACCTGTATATACAGGTCCAGTGTCTTTCCCATGCAGGAAACCTGCCATGACACAGAGTAGAATGAAGAGAAAACACAAACTTTTTGGTTTCCTGTGTTTTTGGAAAAGATGCTCCTTAGCAGTCAGAGACGTTGTGATCCACCTACAGGTGGAGGCTGGCACTGCAAGCAGAAAAAGCTTCTAATAAAGGATTTATAAGTTGTAGGTGTTGAAAAACAAACTAAACTCTACAAACTGGAGCCAAGTGTATGTTCCTGGTTGGTCCAAGTGGTGCAGAAAAAAGCACGGGTTCAGGTTGATTGCATCCACTGCTGACCTTAGCACTGTATACAAATTACAAGGCATCCTGTCGGAGGACTGTTATGCCTTTCCAACCAAACCAAAGGGTTTCGTGGCAGCAAAAGTCAGAATAAAAAGTCTGTGGTCATTAAATTGAACCTAGAGAGCCTCAGAGAGAAACGTTGCAATGAGAGAATATTAAATGTATTTATATAGGTAACAAAATCATGTTCTTCAAAATATACATTTCTAATAAAAACAGCTGATTGCGAAGACTTAATGACTCTCTGCAATCCCTCGCACTGAGCATGCCTGTAGCGACAATGACAGGAAGAACCAGCCATCTGCCGAGGCCAACTGGGGTTCAAGGAGACAGAAGCAGATGAAGACATATACGAAATAAGTTAATTGGTGCTCGGGCCCCGGCAGAAGACTTTGGTGCAGTGAACCAGAATTTGCTTGAATTAGTAAGCTAGAAAAGGTGGTGGAATAAACCAGAGGATAAGTGGGACTGAGAATGAGGGAGGAGATGGGGTGGAGGTAGGTGAAGTTTCGCTTACGTGCAGGAGACAGGCCGGCCCAAGAAATGAAGGGGATCTTACAAGATGATTGGCTTTGGAGAAGGTGAGGCCCCCGAGCTGATTGGCTGGAGCTGAACGAGTTGACATCGCAGTTGGTTCAGGTGAAGAGGATAAGAGTCTTCAAGATTTAATTTATACTTTAGCTTCATTCCTGTGATGAGGGTTTTCTTATGGACTGAAATAATTTTGATTTATTTTGAAAAAAGCAGATATTCTACCAAAAAAACTTTACTCCCTTTATCTGTTAGAACATACATTTCCTCCCCTAACTCAGTAATTGACATTTTTACCAAAAGGCTGTTATATTAGTTTTACAGGTTTTAGGTTCCTTTTGCAGAAGGGAAATTCCACTTTAAAGAGAAAGCACCATGAAGGCAACTGTACAGACAAGCAGCAGGAAATCGAACAAGGAGGGACTTCCTGTAACTCACTGCAATCCCACAGCCTCCATGATTTGGCCTATTAAAAAAAGAACATACTTTTGAATTCCACAGTATTTTCTTAACCTGCTTGTTCACTCCCATTTACGGTAATTTATTTTCTGACAGTATGGAGATTGCACTTACTGCAATTACAGCAGATGTCAAAAAACGTTTATGGACCCTTGGGCATCTCTGGCTGCAGAGTGTGACCTCTGAACCAGAGGTATGCGTGCCCAGAAGGTGAACTTTTTTTCCTCTGTAAAAAAAAAAAAAAAGGCAGATAATTCAAGTTTAAATGGGAAATGCGTAGAAGTATTCATTAGAATCAGCCTTTACTGCATTTTTCAGCAAGGTTTCAATAAACAAAAGGAGCCTTCTAAGTCCCTCTTCAAAATATGAAGCACTGCCCAAGTTGCCGAAGGAAGCGGTTTCTGCCTGGTCTTCATCTGTACATGTCTAGGTGTAAGGATCACCTCGACCTCAAATTACAAAAAGTTGGATCCAGAAGTCAACTTGGTGTTGTTGAGGTTGGTAAAGGGACCCCTTATCTGGACTGAAATTGTTTGACCTAAACAATTGGAATCTTGGATCTAGAGGAAGAAATCACCAAAAGAGAGGAGATAATATGATTTATGTTCCACCTAGGGAGAGGTAGCTTTAAAAGCGTAAAGATCCAAACGAACTAGAGGACCATAGGAGTTGTTTGTGAACATAGAACTAATTCAGAAAGAAAAGGCACTCAGCGGTTTACTCTTAAAAGTAATCTGATGAGGTATACAAATCATGTAATTAAGGAAATCTAAAATAGTTGTCTCCAAACATTCCCTCTGCATGCTTATAAGGGTTTGAACCAAATGACAAGGAAAAACAGAAATGCAACTGCAATATTTGAAGTTAATTTTTATCTTAGAAGACAGGTTAGCAAACTAACCTAAACATGTGGAAAGCCTTGAGTGGTGTAACTGAGGGTGTCCTCAAAAATTCCACAGGAACATTGTTGTGGTGATTTTAAAGCTTCAGAGTTAAAATAGGAGAAATTTACGCATAACTATAGAAAGCCTCATACTAAGTATTTTGGTCATAACTGTTCAAAGAAGCTGAGCTTACTTGTTTGAATGAGAAGCAATGCAGGCATCACATCTATTCATAACACTGACGGCTTTTTTCTAGAAATAACCATTAGTCCCAGACGGTCGTTTATCATAGCGCTGATCAGAAACTTTGAAATTCCCCTTTGTTAGGTTTATAAAGAACTGCTCTAAAAATACAGAAATACACCCTACAACTGTAATTGGAGCTGCAGACTTTGTTCCTACTTATGTTCTGATAGGCCAGTGTGTTCTGCAGGGATTCCAGAGATAATTTCATTCTTCTGAAATTTAAGGATTTATTTCTGCTGTCATGTCCTTATTCTCTTCTTTCTCTCCTCTGCCTGATTAAATATTTCATTGTTTTGAAACTAAAGATTAATACAACCACCCTAAAGAAGATTTTTTACTAAATAAATCTAGGTGAAACTAAAATGTTTAAATATTACCACTTGAGGATTTCTGGATAGAGCATATGGACAGAGAAAAGTATTTTATTTTTTTATCTTAAATGCAAAATTTCTATGCATTTGATATAATAACCGCTCCAAATGGGTTTTTGTTAGCTAGAGGCATGCTTCAAAGTCTCTTTACTTCAGTTAATGATTAATCGTATACTAAAATAGTTGATTATTTCAATAATCGATTAATCACGATTAAACCTAGTTTGAACAATATTAAAATGTCTTGTTTTATGCTCTTTAAATATTGGCTGTTATATACTCTCAATCTTGTCAATCATCTGTTATAAATGTTAAAATGTTTTAAAATGACCAAATCCGACTTTTTTAAAGTATTTTTTTATTGTACAACTTTACAATCAAATTTTGTACAAATGCTGTTAACAAAAAAATGCAGTTCAGGCTACGAGGAGAAATGTTTATAGGGGGCTGAAAACAAAAACTATCCTCCATGCAGCCGGAGCAAGTATATATGCTGCTGATGATGATGATGATTTCAGGGGTTTTAAGTGGGTCCTCAATGCTTCATCCTACTAACCTCACCATGTGTAAAAGTACACCATGATAGCAAGGAGTTGCATTCAGGTTACCATAGTCTGATCCAGATTAAGATTACGCACTGATGGGGAAACAAAAATCCATCCGGACTGTTGTAGTGATGACGAAGTAGGAAATTTGTTCATTTGATGTTTGGTCCAGGTCCAACGTGTTAAGAAACCGAGATGCAGGGTCAGATGTCTTCCGGTGGGGCTTAAGAGCGGGTGTACTTCCCCCAGATGTGAAGCATGAAGACTGAAGCAATAAACAGAAGGCTCATCACCAGCACAGGAACAGGGCCGCTGTCAAAACAATGAGACACTGATTAAAAACCAGATTAACACAAATCTCATCACTTCCAGCGTCTCTGATTTTATTGATGAGATTTGGAAACTAGGAGGGGCTCTCATCTCTGAAGGAGGCTCTGAGAGCAAGGAGGGGTGGAGCGCAGGAGCACATTGCTAAGTAGCAGCATTGCCATGCCAACCTTCTCCAGCGCCGCCCCTCCTTCTCCCCTGTCAGAAGGCTGTAATTGAGTTGACCTTTCATAGAGGATCCTTTAATGAAGCTTTGAGGCTGGCGTCTAATGCAGGAACAAACACACACTCAATATACACCACTGTATGGCGAGCCTGCCCTCCTTCGACTGGTGGAGAGACGTACTCAATAACAACCACGGCACCATTGATCAGCCACGACTGTTTATAACCAGGAGACAGGATGCCTGTGCTAATACCAGAGCTGGGGATTCAGCAGACTGTAACTTTGAGGATCAGAGTTTTCCTCGCATCCTCTATGCGACAAACAACTGTATGCATGCAGATGATCCGAAGCCCAAACTCATCATTCGTTTTAGCGTAGAGTCACGTCTGCTCAATTTCCTACCATTTAACGTCTCAAGAGTCGGAAATTCTGAAGATTAGCACCTCTAAGTGAAATATGCTGAAATGTCAGAGACTAAACATAAAAACATTACTTTCATATCAGGTGCTGTTTCGTTTGTTTTTTCATTAGCGGTACTCACACTTTAAGGCCTGGCGAGTCTTCAGTGTAGAAGCGCCACATGCCGCCTGTGCCAGCAGATCCTGTGGTCCTGCCACCGCTGCGTGTTCCGCTGCTGGTAGCTTTTCTATAGAGGATATAAAAAAAAATAAATAAAAATCACAACTTAAAATGACCTAAAACTGAAAATAAAGGTCACAAAACACACTTTCAGAGCAGAAATTAAATCAGTGTTAAACAGAGAACACAGCAATATCTCTGAAAAACTGATCCGAACCAAAATGATACAGATACGAATTACACTCCGGCCTCATTCATTGGCATTTAAAAACCATTACAGTAAACAGAAAAAATGTTAAACACTATCAGAATTTAATCTTAACACAACTAGGGAGCAGACTGATTCATGGCTGCTTGGTTTGTGGACAGATTAAACAGAGGTTAATGAGGTAATGAAGAGGATTGGTGGTTACGGGTAATGATGAGAGAGAAGCCACAGTGAGCCTTATGATTACACTCTGATTAAGTCCACACAACAACATTCATCCGTCTTAATCGATGAGGTGCACACCACAACAAACTATTTGAAACCTGCCACTTTCTAACAGTAACTACAAGAAAAAAAGATCTATAAGGATTATTTCCACAAGAAATACTAGAAATAGGTACAACCTGAAGTAAGAGCTTATTTCAAGTTTTGGTTTTATGATAAATAAGAATGTCTAAAAGGAAAAACACTTCTACTCATACTTCCAAAAAAATTAAGTCACCTAATTTTATATTTGGTGATAAAATTAAAGCGAAAAGATACGTGTCCAAAAAAAAAAAAAAAATGCATCTATCTAGACATCTGACTGCATGTCTCACTGTTTTGTGACAAACCCAGATTTGACAGCAAAAATGTCTTTGTTTCTTCTCCACAATAAGAAATCATCAGGTTTAATATTTCTAAGAACAGCAGAATACACTCCAACAGCAACAATGTATTTTTTTATTCAAATAAACCACCCACATTGTTTTTCACCATATGACCTGAGCTCCATCAATGAAATCTTGTTTTTGGATCCTGCTTTGCAGCCTAACCAGCCAATCTGGATCAGCCTTTAGAAAATCCTGTATCGGTCAAACTCTAAGATGTAATATAATGTGTAACAATTATGAATTTATGTCTCTGGACTTGAAAGGAACAAGATATGGCTGTACTGGAATGAATTTATATAGACCAAATAAGACTACTATGTGCATACAAAGGGCTCACCCCCAAGTCCTGCAAAGTGCCTTAAATATTTGTTATGTATAGACATTATATGCAGAAAATTAACATAAGTAAGCATATTATTATTATCACCTGAACTGTTTGGAATAGAATAATAACTGGATATATTATGGTATGAATTTTTTCATGCCAATAACATATTCATCCAGTAGAATTTGAGTTGGACTGTTGTTGGACAGTGCATACCCTGTGTATGTCCATGTTCAGTTTATTTTTAATATTGGCCAATATGTTGTTTTTAAAAGCTCACATATCAGTCAGGCTCTACCCCTACCCCTTCAACCAGTCTGCTACAGTTAAATACCTGACAATCCTGTGCTACATCACTATCACATGTACAAACAAATACCACATGGCCTAGTTTAAATGATATTCCATCCATCCATCTTCTTCCACATATGCTAGGTCGGGTTGCAGGGATAGCAGCTTCAGTAGGGAGCCCCAGACGTCCCTCTCCCCAGCCACTTCGGCCAGCTCCTCGGGGGGAATCCCAAGGCGCTCCCAGGCCAGCTGAGAATCATAGTCCCTCCAGGGTGTCCTAGGTCTCCCCCTGGGCCTCCTCCCTGTGGGATGTGCCTGGAACACCTCACCAGGGAGGCGTTCAGGAGGCATCCTAATCAGATGCCCGAGCAACGCCAACTGGCTCCTCTCGAAGTGGAGGAGCAGCGGCTCTACTCTGAGTCTGCCCCGATGACTCAGCCCCTCACCCTATCTCTAAGGGAGAGCACAGACACACTATGGAGAAAACTCATTTCAGCCGCTTGTATCCAGCTAAATGATATTAAGTTAGAGTTTACCAATGCAAGTGAGTACTGTTATGCAGATTTATTGTGCATCCAAATAAGTTACCACTTGGATGCACAATTGCTATTGTTTTACATATCCTATATTTAAAAACACAATAAAATTCACCCCCACCAAAAAATAGGAGGACTTGGCTATTAAGCATAGGCCATTTCTTGGAAACAGGGTCTGGCCATGCTTGCGGATTGCTGGAGAAAAAAAATGAGTTACGTTTTCTACAACTGCTCCCCAAGAGAATGGGTTAAATGCAGAGGTAAATTTCTCCAACGTGAGATCAATAAAGTTCAATTATTATTATTTTTGGAAGCAGATCCTTTGTTTGGATGCCTGTCCTTGAGCAGGGACCACATTATTTCGGCATTTATCCAACGGCCTAAATTATCACCCTAAGCCAATTTTTATGTAAAAAGTCTAAAAACAAAACTATTTAATCTGGTTCCCTGTGAAAATCCTGTTATCATTGTATCTTATCTTTTAAACCCCGGAGTTTAACAATAATGGATGACTACACTTCAAATTTATACCTTACACCAACCCTTTATGATAGTTACCACAAAACAGGAAAGGGAAATTAAGAATCAAATAATTTCAATTATTTGCGTCATTTTACAAAAATCTAAATAGATTACATACCTTTGTCTGACTGTTGAGCCTGCAGCCCGAGGAGCCACTGTTTTACTGGGGGAACGGCTCGATGCCCCAACATTAGTTGCACTTGCTGCTGGTCCAGGCTGACAAAAAAAAAAAAAAAAAAAAAAAAAAAACATTATTCAAGTAAAATATATCCTCTTTCTATCCATTTATTATGCCAATTACGGCCTCATAATCTAAACAAATGCAAACCCTTTAACATTTTTATGTCATATTTATGCATAGGACTGCATGCTTTTTTCTAAAGCAGAGAATAAAAGAAACAGAAACAGATGCAGAAAAATTCAAAGTCATTCATAGACAAACAAATGCAATAATTATAATAATGCTTACAAAAATATGATGGTAACAATACAACCACAAATGCTGAACGCTATAACAGAAAAAGATCATATGCGAATTAAAACTGTAAATATGAGTTTATTTATATCCTTATCTTGATTTGTAAATGGCACGATTAGAAAAACAGGGAATCATTCTAGACGTTGGTATAGGGATACATTTAGGGATCTAGTATTGGGAGATAGCAGGGTTTAGTTTTAACATACAATAACAGAAACAAATCTAAACTCAGCTGTATGCATTGGATGACACATTACCCTTTCAATCATAATAGCATTTTAGATCCATGTGTAAAAATTAACGGGTTACATTTAAGTATAGGCCGAAGCGTTAAATAATAAAATAGCTCTCAACATCAGTCGTTGTTGAATAATTCTATACGTATATATTTATAGGATTTGATTTAGTACTATTTTCGTGATAAAAAAAAAAGTATGGAAAATAAATCTCAGAGAAATGGCCACGTCCTCAGCTAACTGGTTAACTACAAAACGGTTACTGGCACTAAATGAATGTAAAGAGGCTAGTTAGCCAACAAAAACACATCAGAAAGATCAGATGAAAAGGAGAAATTTACCATTTTGTTTTATGTTTCCTGATGCGGGTCTAAAGGCAGATCGTCTCCAGAACCTGAAGTCCACGTCAGAAAATAGTAGACTGTAGATATATTGGTCAAAACTTCAAAAGAAAGCCTATAAGCTGACGTTCGTCTAAAAGGGACACGATGCTAAATTCAGGACCAGAGCTGGTGACCGAGCAGATGCCTGAATCACTGAATGCATCCAGTACAAATTGAAGTACTGAATCGTTCTCTTAAATCGTTTCATGTTCCATATTTATGGTGGAAAATAAAAAAACAAAAATTTTCTTGATTAAAAAAAGAATGCCAGATATTAAGCAACCATTTTTTTGTAAGGCAAACTTCTGGTTCGCCTTTGCTGTGAGAGAGACGTGTCTCTTAATTGTCCGGTGAAGGAAACTAACGCCATTGTGGGTCAAACCGGAACCTCGAATGGATTCAAAACAGTAGTGGATAAGAACCAAAATGGCGGCCAAGCGTTGCTGTTTCATTATAGTGGTGATCAGGCGAACTTAATCGATGGTTTCCAAACCTAAAGAAGGTAGTGGAGAAACTGAGAGGTAAACATAGCTGTATTTTATACTTAATTGGAGGTGGCTTGTTTTTTTCTTCAATATTAACAACTCTAGACAGATTTTTGAGGTTGGAGAAATAGTTTCCTGCTTCATCTCATATTGACAGTTAGAATTTAGCCCAACTTTCTCTGAAACAAGCTTTTCGTCATTCTGTCTGTATTCTGGCTTTCACTTCTTATAAAATAACTACCATGCGGGGTTTTTAAATGACACACTGTTTAAATATGCAGCTAACGGGTGTTTGTATACATAAATGATTTTGTTTTTACAGGTTCTTTTAGATTATTTGTACATTACACAAAAGTTGCCACCCTGACTTTTTTGTTCCTGTTTACTTTAAAATATCATTTTAGTGTGATGCATAGACATATGTCCTTCTGTAAATGATGTACAGGATGCCTCGGGTGGTGTTTCTCCATCCGGATCTTGGTATTGGAGGTGCAGAGCGGCTGGTGGTTGATGCTGCTGTCGCCTTGAAGTCTCAAGGATGCAGTGTTCAGATCTGGACGGCCCATTATGATCCAAAACACTGCTTCTCTGAGACCCTGGATCCAGATCTTCCAGTGGTATGTTAAAACCCAGATCATAATGTAAAGGTATTACGGTCAACCTGTCTAATCATGACTAATCAGTTATTAACATGGTCATCAGAGAAACCCACTAAGTGCCAAAGTGCAAAGAAAATGCATTTCCACTTAAGAACTCTTTATGTCTTGTAGTTTTTTACTTTACATGGTTAACATTCTGGAAAAATAAATCTCATATTAAGCACATTTCGCTTTTGCTGTCAAGGTGTGACATGACATTAGACGTAATGGCAGCATAATGCTGTGGGGTTCGTAAGCTACCAGGGCTACTCTTTATTGCACATAGTGGAAAATGATCAAGTGGGAAGGCTACCTCCTGATTCTTCTGCTTTACCTGAGATCAAGAGAGATGCAGGTTGGTGCTCCGATTTAATAATGATGCCCCAACCTCATTACAGCTGACTTAAATGGATTAAGCAGACTAAAAAATAACCTAGAATTGGCTTGACCTCACCCTTCCTGAAAACATATGGATCATGTCTGAAAGTTAGGAGGTAGTTTGACCCATCCCCTCCTATCAGGCTTTAATTTAGCAGATAGTATATTGTTGAAACAACTAAATTATGTTTGATGAGATATTATTAGTAGTTTTAATGTATTTTAAAATGTCACTAAAATTGTAAAATCGAAGCCAAAACTGCCTGACACCATGGCAACAAGTGTATGTAGACTCACATGACAAAAAAAACTGTGTAAATATTTAAATTCTAGACACTGAATGTCCAAGATTGTCTCATAAATTGTTATATACATGTCATTTTATTAAAGGTGTGTGTGGGTGACTGGTTACCCACCAGCGTGTTTGGCTACCTGCATGCTCTGTGTGCATATCTTCGGATGATCTATGTAGCCTTCTACCTGGTCTTCCTCAGTGGTTTGGAGTATGATGTCATCTTCTGTGATCAGGTGAGTTAATAATCGGAATCCTTTTAGCCATCCTTTTAGTGACTGATAACTAACTTGGAGTTTTGCAATAGTTAAAAACTATTATATCTTCAGTGTTACTTCAGATTCTTGTAGCTTATTCTCCTATAATTAGACATTTATGTTTTTTTTAAACAACAGATGAATATTTATCTATTTATTTTGTTGTCCTTAGGTATCGGTGTGTATACCTGTGCTGCGTTTGTCCCGACACAGAAAAAAGGTCCTATTCTACTGTCATTTTCCAGACCAACTACTGACCCAAAGGAAGTCTGCCCTAAAGAAGCTCTACAGAGCTCCCATCGACTGGCTAGAAGAACGGACAACTGGCATGGCTGATATGGTAATTAAGATTATACAACTCAACAAAATCGTTTTTTCCAAACCTTGGGCAACACTCCTGGTTTAACAGACAATATTCCAAAGATCCTAACTATAGAATAAAGTAGTGTAACGATTAGCAAGCTCAACCTGAAACCAACCATATGGTGTTTAGATAGTAGGGCGACATTTTGTCTGAAATTTAGGTCGATACACTCAAAGAAAATACCCTGGTGAAAACCCCGTTATCTGATTTTGTTTCATATATATATATATATATATATATATATATATATATATATATATATATATATATATATATATATATATATATATATATATATATATATATAAAGTTTCATATCTCTACATCTTGTTCGCTTGTTTTATTTTACAATCACAAATATCTCTGTTTGGATTATGGGTGGCAAACCAACTAAAAGTATCTTAAAGTTGTGCACTGAAAAAGAAGTTAACGGATTGTTTTCTGAAAAAATATTCATGCAAATACAGCTGTTCTTAGTGATTTTATTGGTAATATCAAAATATCAGGATGTCAAAAAACCTGCAATGTTTGTTTGTTCTTCCTTTAAATGATTTCGTCAGATTGCATGGAGAGAATCTCTAAACAACAGTTTTCAAGTATTTACAAGTTCTCAATCAGATGAAGGTCTGGACCCCAACACTTGCCATATTTTTTTGTTTTAACAATTTAAATTTAAAGTTTTTGGGAAGTTGTTTTGTTGGAAGGTCAACCTCTGTCACAATCTTATAAACATGATATCTCCAGGGATTACCTGTATCTAGCTCCAGCTATGTTTTTATAAACTCTTAGAAGCTTAATACTGCCACCACCATCTTTTACTCTTTTAGATAATGTTTTTAAAGTGATGTGCAGTAATAGCTTTTTCAACCAAACTAAGCATTTTTCATGTTTTTAACACTTTCTTGCATACGTATACTGTGTTTCCTAAACGTCTGAGAACTGGACTTTGTTTGGTTTTCTTCTTGCAACTTGTCTAAAAGTCAAGAGTTGGGGAAGATTCTCCCACCAGATTTCTGGAGCTTATCCAGAGTTACCATGGGTTACCATGCTGCTTCTTTGAATGATTCCCACACCTCTCTGTAGAAAAGAGTTTTGCAGGCATGAAGTTCTCCACAACTTTGTTCCTTGAACTCTCTGCCATGAGCCCTGGTCTTCATAATGCTGTCTGTTTCTCAAAAGAACCTCTAAGGTCTTCACCGTAGCAGCATTTATCCTGATAGTTAATCTCAATTTACTGAACAGTTTACTTCTGAAACAAATTGCTTCTTTTTTACTGAAGTTTATTTAGTGGTACCAAAGTAGAGGGGGATGAAAACAAATGTCTTAAAAAGGAATTTGTGTATCATTTTTCCTTTCACTTCTTGATTAAGTGTGTTTTTGTTTTTTCGTTGGTCTATCATGTGAAATCTCAATAAAGAAGTTAGTTTGAGACATATTTTGTATATTTTAAGATGATGTTTTAGGCTGATAGTTGAGTTGTTGTGTAAACTCAGGAACTTGTCTAAGCTCTTAAAAGTGATGTCAGTCCTTAGGCTGAAGGTCAAAGCGAACTTCAGCAGATATGTTATATGAATATGATTCTTCTTGATTTTATTTGATTTTTTTCTTCAGATTTTGGTGAACAGCCAGTTCACTGCAGGCATCTTCAGAGAGACCTTCCACAGTCTAAACCAAGTCCAGACAGATGTCCTCTATCCATCCCTCAACACTCATACCTTTGATCAGTTGTCCACGGATACCCAGGGCCTGCAGGGGCTGCTTCCTGAGGGAATTTCCCACTTGTTTCTGTCTCTAAACCGATATGAAAGGAAGAAGAACTTAGGTCTTGCTCTGGAGGCTCTGGCAGTCCTGAGATGCAGCCTCACACCAGCCCAGAGAGCAGGAGTTCACCTGGTGGTCGCCGGCGGCTACGATGACCGCGTTACTGAGAACGTGCAGCATTACACAGAGCTAAATGAGCTGGCTGAGCAGCTCCACTTAAAGGACTGCGTCACCTTTATGCGCTCTCCCTCTGATTCAATGAAAGTAGCGCTGCTGCAAACGTGCAGCGCGGTGCTTTACACCCCCAGCAGAGAACATTTTGGGATTGTTCCTGTAGAAGCCATGTACTGCAGCTGTCCAGTTATTGCAGTGAACTCCGGGGGTCCCCTGGAGAGCGTGGCAGACGGGGAGACGGGCTTCCTCTGTGAGCCCACGGCCGAGGCCTTTTCTAAGGCCATGAAAAGGCTCATTGAGGAAACACGCCTCCGCAGGGACATGGGAGAAGCTGGGAGAAGGAGGGTAGAGGAGAAGTTCTCTCTTCAGGCCTTTTCAGACCAGCTGTATGGGTATATAATCCGACTGAGCGAGTGATGGGAAGGGAGGAGGAAAACCCTTGAAATGTGAAAATGAAGAACTGCCAGATGTAAATTACTGTTCATAACTTTTTTTTTGTTTATACACTATTTACAAAAAAATAAGTGTCCAGTGTTTTTTGAAAATTTCAGACATTTTTTTTGTTCAGTCCCTTCAAATTCAAATGTTAAGATACTTAATTCAATGAACAGCGTGTATCATGACTATGACTTGATAGAAAATTAGCAATAAAAACAACCAAAGTCTAGTTTAAAGTCTCTAGTTTGAAAGATTACTGGAAGGGGAACAAAATAGAGCTGCTTGAAACTTTTGCACAGGGCTGTGTGTGTATATGTGAACAGAGCTCAGTGAGTATTATTAGTACTTAGAGGGCAATTAATCAGCCTTTCCCATGAGAGGTTGCTGAGAGGCGAGAAAAGGATGGAATCTCTGTACCAATTAAAAAAATGAGACATTAGTTTACCTGTCCTGTTACTGCAAAAATACCATCTTTTTGTGTCTGTACATCTGAAACTGTGGAAAGGGTGCTGCAACGTGGCAACCAGGAGCCTGGGAAATGAGTCTCCAACGAGGATCATTTGTTAGCTTAAAATGTTTTGGCCTGTTTGTGTTTTTTTCCCCCCATGTTTTGTTTTTGTCTTTTCGGTGATGTAGAAGAGGAACGCAGCCATCGCTGCATGCCATCAGGCAGCGTACAAACTCAGATCGATATGGTGGATGTTTTCTGCTGCATCCTGTCTGTTCAAACCTTTGTTCCCCCTTCTGTAGCTGCCTAAAGGGTTATTAGAAAATGATGGAGCATTGGGCTTTATTAGAGGTCTGATGGGCAGTGTGCCTGGTCTTGGGTCATTATCAATGGGGAGAATAGCAGAAGGTCATTGTGTCTCCGTGATGGCCTCCTCTGGCTTCCCACTGTATAGAAATGCTCCTATTGACGTTCTGGAACTCTTAATAAACAAGAAGACACATAGTTTTCCCCCCCATCTCTTATGAGTCCCTCTTTTGTTGATGCGTTTGTTGGCCTCTAATAGACTTGTGTAAGGATTTTGTGGGCGAGCAGGATGCTGCAGATACATTGTTAATGCCGTAAATAAAACATTCCAAGAGGAAAACAGCAGCTAGAAAGTTTTATTATTTTCTTTGCTAATGACTGGGGGTTCAACAAAACATGAAAGCTCCTATCTTTAGGATTCCATTCTTTGTTTCATTATCACTTCCAGAGTCTTTGTTGTGTTTAAATGGGCATCATTCTTATTCTTAAAGGGAATCAAATAAAAGAAGAGTAAAATTGAGATGCCTTTAATATATTGTCATTATTAAAACAAAGTACATTGCAAATTTTTTTTCACATTGCGAAAAATTGTTGAATTAATAAATAAAAATTAATAGAAAAGGGTCCTATTTCTTCTCTAGAAATTGTAAAACCTTTGAACTATAAATTTACTTAATGGCATAATACTATGGGGTAGAACAACAGTGCCACAATTTAATAAAATGCATGTTAAATATGTCAGTTAATTAGAGTTATGTATTTATATATATATATATATATATATATATATATATATATATATATATATATATATATATATATAGTGGGTACGGAAACTATTCAGACCCCTTTAAAATTTTTGAGTCTTTGTTTCATTGCAGTCGTTTGATAGAATCAAAAAAGTTCATTTTATTTCTCAATGTAGACTCAGCACCACATCTTGACAGAAAAAAACGGAAATGTTGAAATCTTTGCAAATTTATCAAAAAAATAAAAAACTGAAATATTAAATGGTCATAAGTATTCAGACCCTTTGCTAAGTATGTTGTAGAAGCAACCTAAATCTCCCCTATACATTTTGTAAAGTTATTGGTAAAATCAGCTGTAGGAAGCTGCGACATGCTTTCTGTGTCATATTTTCATCTTAAAACAGAAAACAATATTTAAACAAACTCCACCTTACAAAAAGGAATAAATATATAAATATGTTTTTTAGTAGTTAAAAGAATTTCTAAAAAATACTTTATATTCTTACCTCCTACACCAAAGTGGATAACATACCTTGTTCAACATAAACACCAAAAGAAACAATCCTAACCATGGGTTCACAAATTCTATCAGGTATCCTAATCAATCTCAAACAGATTGAGTCTCAACGAAAGCTTTCCATAAAATTACATGTTTTACAAGTTGCACATGTCTCTTCTAATCACAATAAATCTACATTATCTAGCTTTTGCCTCTAAAATTGTCATCATTAATGAAATACTTCCTCTTATAAATCGTTGGCATGGCCACAATACTATTTTTATAAATTCTTATGCATATTGAAAAATATCTCACCTGTCCTGATGTGATTTGGGGAAAACTGCTGCTCCAGTTTCTTGAACTTTCCATAGCTGAAGTCGGCTAGTCGAGTGAGATGTATTTGTCACTTATTAGGGGCCTTTGAGTTGGCTATGTAATATCTGAAACGCCTTCATTAGCCCTAGATGCAATTGAATGTAAATGTTTCAGGATGATAGTGAGTTTAATAATTAACCAAATGATAATGTGTTCTACTTGTGTTTATTTTGTCAAACAAACACAATGAGCTTTAGTGTCCAGTAAATAAAAAATGTCTTCCTTTTGTTGGTCTCATTGGCTTTAGGTTGTCAGTCCTCCTACCTCCTACTGTATTGATTCAGGCATTTCTTCACAGTCAATTTCAAAAGCCGAAAGGCATAGAAACCAACAGTGTTTCCACTTTCTTATCACAGCTATGGGTATTAATTGTCCCATAGCATTGTCCCTGTTGGTCCAATTAGTACTTCTGACTATGGTTTAATTTAAGATAAATACCAAGTTCCACCATGTGGAATATTTCAGATCAATTAATTTATATGAGCCTGCAGGTGCTGATTGCTAATATGGGAAATGTTTTCTGATTTACTATTCAGCAATAGTTTGTGAAAGAAAAAAAAAAAAGAAAGAAATCCCATGTTTACACCCCTATTTGGTTTGAGAACAGTGGAACCAATACAATTTGGCAATCAGATAATTAAATATTGGATGTCAAGATCTAGAATGATTTCTTTAATTAATACAAGAAGTAATATTACATAGTTTGGAACTATTAATTATAGGATGAATATAAATGAAAAAGGAGGCCAAGGAGTGCAAACGCCCAGCAAATGCATGAATTCACAGCAAACTCAAGTCCTGCAAACATAAAAATTAGAATTACAGGTAGGCAAGTTCACAATATGCATGCAAAGACAAAAGTACTGTGAAGGACAAAGATGCAAAGTAAAAACTTGCTGCAAACACGAAGGTGCTAATGCACAAATGCACAAAGCACATGCAAAGGAAAATTGTGGTTAGTAGGAAAAACAACTAAAGGTTAACAAAAGCTGCAATCTATAATAAGAAAGCATAAGTGCTCCAGTCCACTAGTGGGAGACATTCATAAATTTGTGGAGGGCCAGGCCCTCAGTAAAGGCCTTACAGGGACGTTTAGGCTACATCCCTATGTATATAGTAGTTACGCCATTTTATATGAGTGTCTGAATGTCTAATGGATGAAGAAGTGGTGGACTTAAAATTTCCACTAGGTCACTAGGAGAGCAGGTATATCCCCAAATGTTTTGCAATTGCTCTCCTCTCAAAGCATCATGGGATTGATTTTGGGGGTGAGAGACAACAGGTTTGGAGCAGTCATTATGCAAGGAGCCAGTCACATGACCAACGAGGGACGTGAAGTAGTGGCAATCTGTCTGAATAGTCGGTTAACTAAGTACCCTATAAAGTCCACTATATAGTCTCCACTCTATACGGTGGAGGGATCAGGTCAGACATTTGGACACAGCCTTAGAGAGAGAGATTAAAGCTAATTCTGAATACATCAAATTGTGCTCCCCTCGCTCATGTTCCTTCACCTTTCATTGGTTCAACAGTAAGGACCCTATCATGGGTATGGAAGGAACTCTGGACTGCTGGGCTGAATCCAGGCAGCCTTTTGCCTTCTGGACAACATTAAGCGATGGAAAAGCATATAAATGATGCCGGTCAAATTTGGACTACAGCTTCAAAAAAAGGGAACATCAAAAACACAAGTTATATAAACATAACGCCTGAAGCTCTGAATTTTACAAACCAAAACATATAAAGGTGTGTACATTTGCATTGTCACACAGAGAAGAAACATGTATTTTTGTTAAATTCTTGGAGGTCAGCTGTGCCTATACATCATGTAATTCAAAGGATTATTTGAATCCTTATAAATCGTACTGTAAGCGCCAGAGGAACAATGGGAGGTTTTCATGCTAAAACAACTATTATAGGAAGCATTTATGCTCCTTTCCCTACCTCCTTCTTTAGCGCCAGCTATCTTCAGACAACACTTATCAATTTGAGTGTTGACACACTTCTACTTTGGTAAAGAATACTTATCAACTTGCAGAATTCGCACTTAGCCTTAGTGTTTAAAATGACACAAAGGAAAGGTTACCTTTTTTCTTCTTCCCTCCAAATGAACTCTGAGTGGGCATCCTGTTTTTTCAACAAATATGATGTTTGGACATTATTAATAATGTCTACAGTCTGGTCATTTATGCTGATGAGTGTTGAGTATCATGGAGTGTTATCAGGAGCTAGTTTGCAACTTTTCTTAACTTGCAGTTGCTTGTGCTAGTTGTAGTGTTTTTCCTTTGCATGAATTTTGTGATTTATATGTTCGCAGCCAGTTTTGTGTTTGCAAGGTTTTTCCACTTTGCTTCTCCCCATTCTCTGTGATTTTATCATATCTCCTTTGTTTTGTGTGTTAGTCTAATTTTTGCATTTGCTAGTGCAAGTTTTGTGTTTTCTATTCTAGTTTTTGAGTTTGCTGGACTTATTGATTTTTGTTAATTATGTATTTGTGTGGTGTTTGCATCCCTCTACCACTATATATGAATAAATAAATAAAACAATAACCTAACATTACAAACCTCCCATAGCACCTTGAGCTTGTTAGTAAAAAAAGAAAGAGTAAGGGCCTGTTGTCAAGCCACTAAGCCCTCTTTGTGTACCCACATTCAGTATAGAGATCTTTAATCAATAAAGCAGCCAAGAAAGCTGCTGTAACTCTGGAGGAGCTGCAAAGATCCAAAGCTCAGGTGGGGAGATATTGCTTAAAGGGCAAGCATTCCACAAATCTGGCCTTTATCTAAGAGCTGAAGGTTTCTTTTTACCACAAGCCATTAAGGGAGTATATGTTTAAATAGGACTAAAATTTACTTTCTAGATGCAAAACACAGCGCGTGGTGTAAGAATTAACGCTTTATATGATCCTGAATGCCCCATAGCCACTACGAAACATGATGATGACAACTTTCTGCTGTGAAAGATGCTTCGGGGAGATTAATAGAGCTAAATAGAAGACAATTTTGGAAGTAAATCAAATGCCAAAAAAATCACTTGGTCAGTGATTTTTTTCATTGCTTATTTCTTTTTTTTCTTTTGTTCTTATGCTTTAAGAAAAGAGGGTAAAACAGAAATTGGAGATGAATTCATTGCGAATGTTGTAATAAATTATTGTGATGATGTTATACTGGCATAAAAGCATTGAGATATTTCTGAATATAAATCCAACTCTGAAATGCTTTAAAGGGAAGATGCTAAAACGGGACATTGAGCATCTAATTAAAAACCATTAATTTGGCAACATTGACCAGGTGCTAAACTTAAACAGATAGGAGGAAAAAGCTTTTGAGAATATATAGATTTCAGTGGTTTATAGATAAGGAGGCCTAAGGAAGAACAGGTGAACATATATATCAAAAGCTGCAGGCAAGCAGTGTGGGGGGGGGGGGGGGGGGGGGGGGGGGGGGGGGGGGGGGGGGGGGGGGGGGGGGGGGGGCATTATTTGCATATTTATAGGTATGCATAACTTAAATGAGGGAAAGATATAGAATAACCCCCATGTTATTTCATTATATATATATATATATATATATATATATATATATATATATATATATATATATATATATATATATAAAATCAAGCATCTGTTTAGTTTCACAAGTTTAATCACTGAACCAATGAAAATGCTTAGTGAAAGACAACATCACTGTTTGAATAACAAATGCTGATGTAATTCAGTTAACAGGAGAGAATAACTGTAATCTTGATGTAAACTAGTGTTAGAATTTATAATATTTATTGGCCAATATTTTAAGTCCATACATGTTTGTGCTCTTGCTGTGTCCGTGTGTGTGGAGCTTTTGAAGCCTCTGATTGGGCAATGCAATGCAAAAGAAAAGGCATTTTAAACAAAAA